GACACTTCCACTGGGATCTACAGCAATGATGTAAACATTTGACCTTGTAAATAACTAATAAAATTAGGAGGGGAGGCAGAATTATTCTCATTTAGATATACAGTTGTGATTTCTGTTACAGTCAATGACAGTCATGAGCTTATGTCTGAAGAAAAAAAGGTGACACCTTTGCAACGACCAGTTTGTTCTGACTTTTGAAACGTCAAGCGCATGACTTCTACATTTGGCTCGAAGAGCAGATCCACTGGCAGGAACTCGCATAATATGGTTTACAACAATGAAAGCTGGCCTGTTCACGTGACAGAAAATGAAGAACACCACCTCTGAGATGTAAAGTCTCCTGTTCAGTAACACGATATAATTTCTTCTCAAATCTTAGGTTCACATACTGGCCAACAATGGCATCTGGCTTTTAAAAAGGGGTTGCTTGATTCACTGCAGAACAACTGCATACCAACAAAGCTACGTTGTTAATATGCCACTTTGTATTAGGTTTGAAAGCTGTGATATGCTGAGGAGATTTCCACCCAACATCCCACAATTAGACTAAATCACCCACAATGCAACAAAATACTCTATCACGCTGTTGTCTTGTAACTAATCTTTATAAATTTAGCTCATCTTTGCACACTAAGACCTTGTGCCTCTGACAAAGACAACATTCTGAGTGGAGACTGAGACGGGAGCTGCGCACAATGCTCCACACATCAGAAGGGTAAGAGAGCTCAGAGTACGAGTCTGTTTATTGAAAACTGAACTTCAGTTGCAGGATTTACTCATTCCCAATAGAATAACCACTGAAAAAAAAATATAAAATGAGAGCTTCGCAAAAAGAAAAAGCCCAGAATTAGGCCCAAAGCACAGTTTTAATTGTACCACACTGACAGATCAAATACTTGCCTTTAGATCATAGTGGATTTGATCTGTATTAACAAATTTGTAAAAAAAAAACCCACCCTAAACATGAGCTGACTTGCAGAATTCAACAGAAACACTTGTTGCTTATGTCCCCTAGCAATGCTGTATAGTACTTGAAATTGTTTGAAGACTAAAAAGCACACACTGTACAACGGAGGTTAAAGGACTTCTGAGCCCCATCCTTTTGACACTCCCCCAAAAGCATTCCAAAGGTCAAACAGCCTTCGGACACAACTGCAAGATTTTGATGTGCATGTGAAGCCACTGACGCTTCTGATTAAGCTCCCATGCTAATACAAAAAGAAAAGATAATGCACATGTATTTCCTTCTCCGAATGCAACAAAACATGACTTATGCTGTTGTCAGAGGCATTCACTAAGAACTTTCAAATTAAGTAAAACTGTGAAAGCAGTTCTTATTTCCCATCACTCACAGGGCATATTCTTAAGCTGCAGTACATCTCATCATGCTGTTTGGCATTATCTCATAATGCTCTTCAGTCTTTCCAACTCCTTCAACCAGTTACCAGCCACACTCATGTTTATTTCCGTAAAGATTACATAATAAAACAAGTGCTACCAAACTAGAGCTAAAATACCTTTCTGCATCTTATCTTTTGCTCTTAAGAGTTTAACAGTCTAATGGGTGTCTCTCCAGTGACCATCCCTTTGCTTTACAAAATTATCAGGCTTCAGCATCCTCAAGACTTTGTAATTCCACTGTTGTTATTCCTAAATATATATTTACAAGATCAATAAAGAAATGATACAGTAGAGAGCAGAGCATTGCCTTTGATCTCTGGGCGACAACGAGTTGCTGGAAGTGCTACTGCTATATTCGTACTTCTCAAACCCATACTGTTGTGTAGTACGGTATTCCTTTCTCAGTGCCTGCCAAAACCACACGTCCAGAGATCAATAAAGACAGCTAAAAAATGGCAATGTACTGCCATGATGACTGCTGCCAGGGAAATGTCTAAACAAATAATACCTTACAAACACAGTATCACCACAAGATTATACAATGCCACATACTTGGAGTACTCCCTGATTTCAAGTGGCTGTATGATACACAGTATAATATATATAGCTTTATTAAACAGTTTGACCTCATTTCCATACCTTCTGGTTTTCCTTCACGTGTTATTACAACAAGGGGTTTGGTGAAGGTTTTCTTGTTGTGCATCATGGCCAAGATCATATCCACATTGAGAGAGGTGCAAGCTTCATCAGGAGGAATGCACTGTGGGTGGAAAAAACTTTGTGTGAGGTCAGAGAGTCATTCTGCCAGGACAGCTGTGCCTGCATTAAGGATCCTCCAACCTTTATGAGATGTTACTATTGAACGTAAATAGTAGTAATTATTTTATTTTAGGATAAATGTTTTTTTAAAAATCTGATAGCCAAAACTGTAGCCACCAACACATGTTGATCAACAATGACAAATCACCTTTAAAAAAACACATTTTAAGGGGGATGTGCACAAACCTCAAAGTAAAAATAAATTCCAAATTCTTAGAACATGTTCTTTAACAACTAATTTACAGCCATTTCAATTAGTTATAAAGCAAAATTTCGGAATTCTCTTTTGTAACAATCAGATTGCAATATTATCTGATATTATGCATGGCTTTGGAAATTAAAGCTAGCACTGTTTGTGCTTTGGATATAGATAGCAAAGATAAATCTGAACCACTTGCGTAATAAAAAGCAATTTCAATTTATCCCACGTAACAACATAATGAAATTTAAACAGAAATTGCAAATTATGCAGTCAAAATGCATAGCATCATAACTTATCTATTAAAATCTTGAGCCAAGAGATATCATGGTCATTACATCAATTCCATAGAAAACTGTTTATTCACTTCAAAGTTCAGATGAAAAAAATATCTTATTTTCACCTAAAATCAGAAGTTCAGACTTTAATAAATTACTGACCTTTGGCAGTCCTTGCGTATCTTTGTCTTTATTTGTACACAAAGTCAACTCGCAGTGAAGAAAGAGCAGTGAGATGTTGAACATTGGTTTAAACACAAAGCTAAATCTTTTTTTGTCCTTTTGTGCATGTGGTATCGGAAAGTTCACCTTCTCAGTGCTGTAGAATTTAACAGATTCATCTTTAGGACAAATGTTTTCTATAACGGTGTAGTCAGACATTCTATCTGGATTTGAAAACGGGGAAACAAAGCATGTTTGAATGGCAAAGCCCAAGGATCTGTCAGCTTTAGTCACAGACACCTGCATTAAAAAGAAAGAGATGGTAAGATCTCTGAAATGACATTTTTAGTTCACATTTCATTAACATTATCAACAGTTTTTTAAGCAGTTTTCCAGTGCCACTTCCAATCTGAACTATTTTGAAGGCTAAATGTTAAGGGTAGACTGTCAAACTGAGAGACAGAAAATCTGTGGTTTCAAAACCAGCAGCTTTTTAATAGCATAACCATGCATAAATACAGCAATCCCTTATCTTTCTGAAGGCAGAAGAAAAACCCAGTCCAGATCAGACATGTAGTTAATGACTACAAATGCCACCTGAGATGGCACTGCTTCCCTTAGACACATAGAATGTAAGAGAGCTGTATGGAAGTCAATTACTAATTCCACATCTTTGTACCTGTTTGAAACTTTAATGAAAAAGAAAAAAAAAATAATAAAAGCAACAGACACAACAGAGGACCCACCCCCAGCCAGGAGAGGAATGCAGAGGCAGAGAGGAGGTCATGGTCTGACGTGTGGGTGTCGTTCCTGGACTAGGGGGGGGTGGGGGAGCCTCCTAAAAAGCCATAATTTCTTGTGAAATGATCCATTTAATTTACTGTAAGTCTGAAATTCATATTCTTTTATGAAACATAATTAAGACTACAAGCTTCCAGGGAACTGATGTTGTTCAGCTGGACTGGAATGCAGACAACAAATGCTACAGAATAATTAGGAAAAAAATTTCAATGGAATTTGCAACAAATGAAGCATGTTGCTCTTAATAAACAAAAATGTTGTGCCTAAGTATTAACACTGCCCAATGAAAACAGTTCCACAATAAATTCCTTCTTAGAAGAAATGTGCATTAAACGCGTACTTAATCCATACATGCTGCATGTATATTTAAGAAAGACCCTGCCAAATCTTCCTGTGGTCTATACAGAAATTTTTGGATGCTATGAGTTGTGCAGTGAATAAAGGCATTTCTCATTTTTTCTCTCCCTTATGTGAGCAGCAGTTAAATTCGAGATGAAGGGATGTGCTGAAGCATCTAAGCAAGAAAGACCATCTGTCTAAAAAGAAGAGAAATAAAGACGGATGAATGAAACTCAAGCCACAGATACTGACAGATAAACAAGCTTATGATGTAAACTAGTTAAAAAAGAGATTATGGCAAGGACAACAGGCATACTACAGTATCATGAAACACCACCAGGTAAATAAAAGGATGAATGATATCTCAAGGAAAAAAAAAAAAAAAAAAAAAGAGACCTCCAGGAGGAAGAGGAGACCAAAGTATGATAAGAAAACGACAGTAGAGAACTAAGAAAAAAAAGCCAGAAGATTCAAATACAAAAAACTTTTTTAGCAGAAAAGGAAAAAGGAGATAATGAGTTCTTACAGATTATGACCTAAGCAATTTATTGACCAAAAAACCAAAATATATTTGTTAACAACAAAAGCCAAACAGAAACAAAAATGAAAAACGTTTTTTTAAAAAAAATCTGTGTTAGCTAAAAATGGAGCCACAGAAGTTCAAAACCGATACAGATTTTCCACTGTGCAAGAAGGCAAAAGAGTAAAAAAAAAGGCTTCTGCCAGGACAGGTGATGAAGAAATCAGAACATCTGTCTGAATAAACAGCTCCAGAACCAGACAAATCCAGAGGGCTTGGAGCCAGAGGGATTCATCCCAGATTGCTGAAGGAAGCAGCCGGTTTTATCCAAATGAAAAAAATAACGTGTCTTTTATAAACATATTCTTAACCGAGCGTGACATACTTTCTTTTTCTTTTTGCTTCAATTGTCTTAAGTACTTTTCACCGGGTAGAGAATGAGGAAGAGACACAACACACTGAAATAATGAAGAAAACTGCACCAGTGTCAAATGGGCCACTAAGCTTCTCATGTGCAGCATGGGCTCACAAAGAGGAACTAACTTGGGCAAGAGAAACATGGCACAGCACTGCTTCAGTCAATACACTCAGTTTCCTGGTCTTATAAGCTACTCGTGATTTAATCATCTCTAAACTGGTGATACTACTTCATTGCCCATGTTGTATTTATTAATGCCTACTGTATTTTGAAAAATGCAAAATTCTGCTCACGTGACAATCTTTAGAAATACTGATTGTATTGGTTTGAAATTCCCCACATTTCATAAGCAACTCAGCAACACTTGGAAATATTACCAGGTCAAAAACACATCTGAAGTCAAGGGTACCTGGCTGTTGACTTTGCTAGTCTTGTTTACCTAAAGCTGTTAGATCTCTTGTGTGATAGTATTCAAAAGGAATGCAACTGGTGTTTGCAAGTGGATCAGAGAGAGATTGGAATCTGTACTTTGTAACCTGAGAACACTAGCATATGGAAAACAGACACTTGTAATCATTTGTTGCACGTCTACATCTTTCAGATGAGGTCCACCCATACTACCCAATAAAATGGACCCTGAAGGCTTCATCAGGAAATGTCAGTTCAGAGCAAGAGCTCAGAGACCACCTTTAAGTTCTGCAGAGAAAAGCAGATTTGGCAAGAATGACCAATTTACCTTGTAGTTAAATTCATCCATTTGGTACGAATCCTTTCATTTTGACCCAAAAAATTGTCCTGCTTCTCACCCCACAGTTTCTGTTTTCTGCAGCCGAAGTATCTACCTGTCTGCCTAAAGCAACTGCACAATGAGACCTTTCAACTGACAAGAACAGATTTGGCTCAGTTGCACAGTCTTGCAAAATGTTTCTGTTAGTTTGAAAGCCTTTTTCGGTTTGTTACCTCTACATATATTGGTCCATTCTCAGCAACAGAGAAGAGTCCCTGGGAGGGAGCAAGGAACAGATCCGTTTTGTACAGCTCCATGTTGAAGGTCACATTGGTGATGTGTGGTTCAGGAGGCCAGAACACGCCCCTGTCATCCTCTGGCTGGTGCAGCGTGCAATTAAACTGAAACGAAAAAGCCAACACAAATACATCCTGAGTCAGGAGCGGCAGCTGGGTAAGGACAAATTTCGAGTGTACAATACAGGCCCACCCACATTCCGTCAGCTTAGTGCAAATCTTCAACAGGGTCACAAGAAATAGAAGTGAGAAGAAATGTGTTAAAAGACAAATTAATTGCTACACAATTAATGCAATTTATGTGAAGTGCCTATTACAATAGGCATTTCTCTATTGTCGGGTGCAAACCTAAGAGTAACGTACCGCTATTTCAGGCCAGCTTGAGAAAGCAACATCTCCCTCATCAGCATCCCCTGGAAATCCATTATCACCCGATTCCATGTCGTCATCATCAAAGCCGCTGCTTTCAGCTGGTGATGACAGCTGAATGACAATCTGCACAAAAGGTATTCCAAACGCGTAAAATTAGGTGATAACTGAGCACTGTCTCTTCATGGTTATTATTTTCTTCTCTCTTCAGAACAATGCAAAGGCCAAAAGAAGTGCACCAGCTAACCAGACGGTGAAAGCATGTCTTAAACAGCTTTGTGCTGAGCATATAAGATATGTAGATTATATTTAGAGAACGCCACTTACTTTTTTTTCCAAAATTCAGAGCCAGCAAAGACACCAGTCTGGGTGCTGGTGTCTGAATGAGCACCCTAGCATTTCCATTCTATTTCTAGTACTTCTATAACCAACATTGGAAAAAGAAATGGCTTTCTAAAGTGATTTTTTGCAACTTACAGTTTTCCTTAAAGCGCTCACAGAAAAATCACTGAAAGTGTTAGGGTCATTACAGGATTTTCTCTTCTTTCACTTACATGTTTTTTTCAGATATGTACACCCAAAAGCACAATGTTCCTCTCTTCATTTTTCCCTTCTTTGTTTTTCTCTGAATTTCTACTGACTTTCCCCTCTCCCCCCCTTTTTTTTCTCCTTTGCACACTTCTCCCTTTCTTCACTTGAAAATTCCCATTTTTGTTTTCCAGCGTTCTGTACTCTGCTTCTGTCTGTGCTGTGGCTCCTCAGCTAGTCCTTCCAGGACTTCTTCTTTGTTTTCTTGGACATAGAGCAACTGCTAAGAAGTGACATATAGTCTTTGAGACCCCACTGCATAGGGTTTATTTTTTAGGATAAATGTTCCCAAATTCTGAAAGATGCCATATATGATTTGGATTTTAAGAGAGTAGCCAAGACTATTAAAAGACACGATGGAGAAAGGAGAGGAGGCAAATATCCATTTTAGTTTGAGCCAGAATAGGATATAGTGACAATGACAGTATTTAGCTCCAGACACGTGTTGTTCTGTAGTTTGGAGATGTTTCTATCCACAGTCTTGGTTTGGGACTGTTTCTAATGTTAGGTGCTACAGACTTGCCAGTATAGAACAGTTTCAACCAGGGAAGGTCAGATCAGATTGCTTTAGCTGTGTTTGGGTTGGACCACAGGCTTTCCATCATTTGCCAAGGTTACTTCTATGTACTGGAAAGCTCCAGCAAGAGAAACGTGTCATTACTTTCGAACCCAGATTAGCTGCACTGTACTCAAGCTCATAAGCTGAACCAGTCTGGAAGCAGTCGCTTAGAACCTAAGTGTGCTTCTTAGCATCATCACTTACATACAAGCACTCAGAGTCCCTTCATCACATACATCAACTGATAGCAAATATGAATCCAAATTATAAAAGAGAAGCATGCTCAGATAATGTCTTTTCCTCACATTTTGAAAGCCTTTTTCACACACAATTTTGGAAAAAAAAAAATCACTTAAAATAATTCAGCACTGTGATGTAAAATAATTCAGCACTTGTGATTGTGTGCAATCACAAACCTTCATTCCTATTCCTCCTTATAGCTACACAGCACTGCTTATCTACTAGTACATCAAAGCCACATGGGGAAAGATGGTGCAACTTCTCCTGAGACTGGTAGAGGTGGTCCCCACATGTAGCCATGCAGTTTTGTAAAAGTATTTAACTCCAACTCCTCCTTTTTCCTTTGGGATATTATCTGACCACAGAAGCACACTGAACATGCAGCCTTCATACCTCCTTGAATACAGGGACTGTAGCTGCAACTAGGTCTGAGCTGGAGAGGAAAAGATCAGGACGCCTACTTTTGCTAAGAGTAAAGCTAATTACAATGGCTTTCTCGTACCACTATGATGTGCAGCGCAGAGGTTCCTCTTTGTAAAATACTCACGGAGTTAAAATAAACAATCTTGTTGAAGATATATGCTGTCCGAGTCCCGCATTTGTTCAGTGAAGACTCCAAAATGAAATGGGTACCGTTCATCCTGGCTTTGCAAGAGTGATCCAGCAGCGAGAGTTCTGTCCTTGTGTAGCCGCTAGCCTGAAACAAAGGCGCTTTGTAAGTGGCCGAAACACAATTGTGTTAGGCTCTTGCTTAAAGTACAGCTCAGAATACTGTTCGTGACTGCTGATAGGAGGAAGTGAAGTTCATTGTACTGACATCCAGGGAAGGTCACACTCAAAACGCTGTTATACATGACAGACAGGGAATAAATGTAACATGGAAAAAAGAAAACAACAGGTTCATTATTAATCTGCTGATTAATAATGCTGACTGTGTTTGCTCTGAAATGAACTAAAAATGCTGTCTGTATCAGGCTCTTTTCCACAATGCAAATGGACACAAGCAACCTGTCAGCTGGTAGATGGTAAAGACAGATCTATTCAGGTCTCACACAGCTAACAAAACCAGCTTGTTTGTACTTTGGAGATTAAAAACTCAAGACTGATGGTTGAGTACAGTAATTTTTTGACAGAACCAACCCTGCAAAGCTTTAATCAGAAATCCCTCTACAAACTACCGGATTGTTGGGGAGAGGAAACATGACCCTGAGTTATGGCAAAGAATATCTACAGTACAGTTTCCTCACCAATTTTTTTTTTGGGGTGTTGGATGGTGATGGCTGTAGATCTTAGGAAGTTGGTTGTTTTTTTTTTTTTTCCCAATCAAAATACAAATAGGAAAAATTTCTGCACTGAAAGGGTTATTAAGCATTGGAACAGGCTGCCCAGGGAAGTGGCTGAGTCGCCATTCCTGGAGGTATTTAAGAGATATGTAGATGTGGTGCTTAGGAACATGGTTTAGTGGTGCACTTGGCAGCATTAGGTTTACAGTTGGACTCGATGACCTCAAAGGTCTTTTCCAACCGAAATGATTCTATGATATAAAATGATCTGCCCAAAATGTCTGCCCAAATTTGGGAATGAGAGATCACACCAACCTGCAAAGAGTCTTTTTCTACAGCTACTGTCATGACTTTGTCATCACACTTTATTGACAGGGCTACACCAGCACTGCCTTGAACCTCTTCTGGTTCTTTATGTTTTGAGAGGGAATGCTCAAAGTCATGATTTATTAATGTATCCACTGAATCCCTGGAGGGGAAGATTCCTTCTCCGACTGTGTCATGTCTTCCTCTGTTAATGTGAAAAGGAAAAGCCAGGCCATCAGTTAAGGCAGGATTCTTTGGGGCAGGCAGTGGATTAGCACCCAGCAATTCTGTCAGCTCTGGAGGAAGGGAATGGTCTTCTTCATCATTCATCTCTTCTAAAAAAAAGAAGGGAAAGAAAGAACATCAGGTTATTCAATAATTTTCATAAGAGTCTTCAGAACTAATCATTTTCATAAAAAAAAAAATAAAATCCAGAAAGGAAGCTCTTGAAGGACATCCAAAGCAGCATCTTTGTACTTTTCAGGTAACTAGCCACATTTCCTCCACTAAGGGTTTAGTTGTTACTGAGGCATCTAATCCTGTTATATTTAAACCCTGCTAGAAATCTGCCTCACTAAGAGCTGAAAATGAGCTTTGAGGAGTAGGACTATTATATGCAAAAGGGAACCACTGAGGTAAAAGAAACATCACATCAGTAAATACACTATTTTAGTGCTGTTGAAATAGCCCAAGTGCAAACCATTGGGTGAAATTCTTCCATTACCTGTCCCATCACAAATTCAGTCACTCCACTGTTGTGAAACTACTTACATAACCAGAGTGAAGTTGAACGAGAGTTAACTTTATACTGAGTAAATGAGAACATTATCTCCTGGCTTATACAGGCAACTGCTCAGGACAGAAAACTCAAAATCTGGCCCAAGTAGATAATTATCTGTAACCCACAAGAGTGCAATTGGTAAAATTAAGGTGAACATAAGCTTTATCAAAACAGCTAAACAATATTTTCACTGATTGAAATTCAGAATTGGTGAAAACGCAGATGCAACTCCATTAGCTTCAATGGACCCAGATATCTTTACATCACCAATGACTTTGGCCAAATAATAGATTTTTTTCAATGGTTGTATTTATTCCATTTGTTCAGACTTTTCTGGTAAGCCAGTTTTGTCCGTAAACAATTAAAAAGTCTATTTAATTGTCTCAAGGAAACACTATGGTGATACATTTGGGAAAGAAAAAAAGTAAAAATCAAAGCTGGATTTATTAACTAACAAGATATCTAGTTGCTGAAGTCCATTCCAGTGAACACTGAGCATGGTCAGCTATAATGGCTTGTGAGTTGGATAAACTATAACTATTTAATTCCACCAACATTTCAGGATATAACACAATTTGCCTGGACTTTTCCAGTAAAAAAGCCACATTAACCAGCATTCATAGATATTACAAGTATTCTTGATGATGAGCAGCAAAAGTAGGGCAAACTCCCATGAAAAAAGCTTCAAAACTGAGAAAGCACCTTTCAAATCATCATATTCCCGGAAATACAGGATATATTTATTCTATATGCTAGAAGTCCATCTTCCAGCTTACCTGTATCTTCAAGTTGCAGATGAAATCTGTTAGCAACAGGAGCTTTTGTGTAGGAAGTAACTGGACTATAGCTATGCTCATAAGCCCACTTGATCAAACTCTCATGTGATGCGGGAATATCAGGTATTACTGATTTACTCATAGTCATGGATCGTTCTGTTTCCTTTCCAAAACCAATGCTATTTGATGTCTGAAAACAAAGAAAAATTTGGTTCATGATTTACCATTTAAGGATACTTAAAACGGAATAGTGACACTGATTGAACATGGTTTTTACTCTATTTTACTTTATTAAATAACAGCAAACTGAGAATAACAGGGAAATAAACCAAACTCTGCCACCTTAGGCACAGAACTGCTGCACAGACAGAGAAATGCACACCCCCTTTCCTCCCAGCCTCTGCCTGGAGTACAATAAATCAAGGTAGCCAGAAACCGTTAATCCCTAAATAAGACGGAGATGTATTTACAGCTATTTGTGTAATGCCATATTTTCTTCAAAACTGCGTTGAAATGACTTCTGAGGTGAGGTGAACTCAAGATGACAACTGTTTTTTCAAATGTCCCCTCCATTTCTTTGATTAGAGCCCTTCTTAAGCCACATATGGGAAAACCTTTGTTCAAATGAGCATTACTGAAAAAGGCAAAACATAGCATGCTCATGAAGTAAAGCTGATACCAGCAAATGCTTTAAGGTCAGCTGGCACCGAGGACAGCCTGTGCCTCTCTGAATGAGTTTCATGCTAGAAATGTTATGTGCCTCCTGCAAAACGTTGAGTATGTTAAACAGGAATTAATTAAATGCTTAACAGAGCCATAAGTGACAGCATGTACGTTTATGTAAGGCCAAACTACCTAAAAGACAACATACACTTTCTGCACATAAATAAAATTTAAAATTTAATTTACAATATAAGTTTTGCAACAAATACATCAATACAGCAAACTCATAAATGCACTTGCTGACGTCTTATTTTATTATTAAATAATTACAAAAAAACAGCTTGCCAAAGTTGGCCGTGGAATACAGATGAGTCACACCATCAGTCAGCTTTCACTTTACTGTAAACATTTTGCAAAATTTCAAATTTTCTTGTCCAAATGGGTAAGTCAAAGGAATATAACAAACACCTTCAGCTGCTAGAGGGGCAGTTAGAAAATCTTAACTTTAACTTGCTTTTAAGCGCTTGGCATCTTAAATTTAAATATGTATTCACACAAATCTAAATAGACACATATTTATTTTTACATTCACCTTACCATTATCCCTACAACAACCACATCAATGACTACAGAACAAGCTGAACATACACACCGCAGGAAAGGCACGATGACCCGCTTTTCAATGATTCCTGCAATGTGACCAAATTGCACTTTCTATATGCAGATGATACCACTGAATGCTCTACAACAAACACTTTTATTTCCTCACCTGATTACCTTTGCCATCATATACGCTGCATATTTTTTTTTAAAAACCCCCATTGGTTTCCCTCAATGTGAACAAGTGATAATTCTCTTTCACTCTAGACTGTCCAAAGATCGACTGCACGGGTCTTTTTTGCCCAGATCACTTTTGGACAGTGGTCGTATGGACCTGCTACCCAGCATCACAGAGCTCGGTTGCACTTCTGTACCTGACCTCAGAAACGGAGCTTTTGAACCAAGCAGTGAATACAGCTCAGAGAGTCCCACCAGAATGGTGCAGTTTACTTTTAGCTCCCTCCCTCATTTCTTCCTAATGACCCAGTTCTGCATCCTTTAAACACTCACAGCTTCAAAGCTGAAGTTAAAGGGAATTTTAGTTGGAGAGTGTCTTGGTTTGAGGATACTGTTACCAGTACAGTTAGCAATGACTAGCAAAGGCCACTGAAGATAAGAAACAAAAAGGAAGCCATAGCTATCCTAAATTTTCGTATCTAATTACTGTTTTGGATCTGATAATCTTTTAGTTTTTCTTCAACAGATACAAATCACAGAATGGTCAGGGTTGGAAGGGACCTCTGGAGATCATTTAGTCCAACCCCCAACCTGGCCATGATTCATCACGCATTTTCATATTACCACACAGCTTTGACTGGCTGGAATTATTACGCTAGCCTAACTTTGCTGGATCTCCCTCTCTGCTTTCCTTTTCTTTTTTGTCATGAGGAGACAGCTGAACAAATATTATCTCAGAACTTTACTGTCCTAGCTGGCACCTGACCATTTCCAGGGCTTGTTTATACCTCTCCACTCCACGCTGAGCCCGTAAATGTTCAGTCCTGCATCGCCTCAATGAAACGAAACCAAGCATAAGGGTTTGCAGGAATAGACATACATTCCTTCACTTACCAACACCTTCACACACAGTGTATGAAACCAGGCAATCAGAGCCACCCACTAACCTACCCAGAACAGAGAGAGACCATTTCAGAAACTGGTGGGCAGTTGTTTTCATGTAAAGAACAGTCCCTCAAAGCTTTTGAAACCATCACAGGTTTGTTCTGCACGTTTCACCTCTCGCTCTTTGTCCCTCAACACACTTATCTTCTTTCTGCAATTTTACTTTGTCCACTGTGCAACCCACAGCTTTGTAAAAGAAGACACCAAATCCAAAGGAAGAGATGTGAAGGGCAGACAGTCCACAAGCACAGAAACACACAAGTACCGCACACAGGTTGATGTTGACTGCAAACAGGCATAACACAGCCTGGGAGGAAAGCGTTGCATATATATTATGTGCAACTACTTTACCTAAACTATTCCCATTTTTACTTGGTTCTGTGTCCATCCTCTTTCAGAGTTCCAAGAAACATAGCAAGCTGGGAGATGAGCTAGATGACCTAAAAAGTCTTTTTCATTTTTTGTCTGTGAACTTGGACCTCAATAACTCAACAGTCCTGCGTTTGAGGCAGCTTAGCACTAACCTTTCCCTCTCGGCTTGCCAATCCCCTCAAGACAATTCTGATTTGTACTGAGGGCAAGAAGTTAGGAAAATTGAAGTGCATGGAACCGATTCAAGTAATAAAAAAGGACATTGTGAAACATTACCTAATTGTTTAGTAATGTTTTTATGCATTGTCTAAATTTGGGCTTGGAAAGGCCTTCAGCTTAATAGAGATAGGAACAGATCCTAAATACTGGATGTACAGCTTTTTAATGACATGGGGGTGTTTCATTCCCTCCTACACTCCCCTCAAAATAAAGGAGAACAAACACAGTCAGAAAGTGAAGCATCTATATAAATGAAGCAATACAGCAAACAGTTACTCACAAATCCTAACGTAAATATACAAAGCCTTTTATATACGGACATTTCCATATATAGTATTACTTTCTCTTTTTGTTAGTCTAAATAAAATGTTACCTTCTGCCCTGTGTTACAGAAAGAATTTTCACTTACACTTTTTAATTATACTTTCAATAATTAATAAAGAAAAACTTCAAGAATAGCAGCATTTTTTTTCTACACCAGTGCAGCACTTCATACATTTTAAAATCCTCTGGATTTCCTCTCCCTGAACAATCATCATCCACAAAGGGGTAGCTTCATGGATATGAAATACAGCACGTTAGCTATCTCCAAGCATAAAGTGAACTAATGCACAATTCTCTATCCTGTGAAAGTAGACCCATATAAGGCCTAAATATAGAGTGGTGAATTTTATGTAATAACCCAGAATGAAACTTTCAAGTCAAGCATTGTTTTTTGCCCTTCTGCTTACAAGTGTGGTAATCCTGAGAAACTAACCTTGACCTTTCTCTTTGAGGGCTGATTATTTAGAACCTACAGAATGACCAGAACATCCTTTCCTGCCAGTAATATAAAGATATGTCAGGGATCAAAAGGGAATTTCATCATCCACCCTAGATAATTTTTGCATTCATTTTTTCAGAGCACCATAATTTATTTCCTTTTATTTCCCTTACTCTCAAAATCTAGCACGAAATCCTGCCTATCAATCTGTCCTTAGACGATTTAGATCAAGCAGGCTGTGGATACTGTCAGAATTGCCCTTGCACACATTAAAAGGAGAAAGCTACTAAGCAAAGTAAAATTCTTATAAATACAGACAGCTGGAGTTTGAAAATGTATTTGAGTTACTGCAAAACTGTTAATCAGAAGGCCACTGGGTGGTCCTGAGCAAACATTCAGCTCAACTGTAGAATGTGCTCCTAACCGAACACTTAAGACTGCAATGGGTGACACATTTATAGGCTGCAAGATAAGGCCAATTTTATTTATTTATTTATTTCAGAGCAAGGAAAAACACATTTTCTTAGTAGAAATGCTGCTGATCCACAAAGCCCGTACAAAAAATCATTCTGAATCAGAACCTCCAATTATGTGTAACTATAGTTTCAGAAGTTTACATTTAGAGATCCTAGGTTTAATTTTTTAAAAACTTATTATTTGCGGTCTGAGGAGAGGTGAGGTCAATTTGACCAAACACTTGCTGGGGACAGAAGTACTGGCAGGGAAGACGGCTAGAGACTGCTACAACCACAAGTGGAAGGAGTAAAAAAGTTTCCACTTGTAAAGGGACGTGGGTGTGTGGATAATCTAGGATTATCCATTCTGCACTCACAGGCATCTTTCCAACTTCTGAGATGAACCTGTAAATCCACTCACGAAAGTAACAGCAAAAAGGGAACATCACTTTGGGTGTTTACATCCAACTGGGTGTTTAGGGTACTTCAACAGCAGTGGAAAAGACATAGACCCTAAATCCTTGCACTAACCACCTGGCTTCTGTGATGTGCTGGTCAGTTTAATAGCCCATATATTAAAAGTTAAGGAGAAAGAAATACATAGGTTCTGTATTTACTCCCTGAAATGCAATAATAACTAAAAAAGCAGATATGAGAGAAAACATTCAGAAATCAATATGCTCTAGCATTATATCACATTTAAATGGATTCCATACTGTTGCAGTATGATATCTCTCAAAAAATAAAGGTGCTTTAACTTACAATCACTTCCAGCTTTCCCTGGACATCATGCGACTTGATAACCCAATTGACAGACTTTTTACACTTGAGGATAAGTACGATGTCTCTGACAAGTTTGGCGCCTGGTTGAGATGGTTTAATGTCAACGATTATATCCACCTGGAAAGCACTGTATGTGGAAAAATAGAGAGAAAGTTAGACTAGAATGCCAGAAATTTTCAGCTATCAACCTTCTTCCAATCCATCATGTTTCCACTGTCTGGCCAGCTGATTAAAATGCTGGAGATTATCCCAGGCAACACAACATGTGCAAAACAGATTGTTATTCCACATACACTTAAATGATTTTGCATAACAATAGAAACAAATACTTTTTAGACAAATAATATTTTTGTCTCTTGTTTACAAGTAGTGTGCTACTCATTTCAACTATTATTTAGAGCAGGTTAGTTATATGACTAGCAATTTGCTTTATAAAGTAAATATTGTTTTCTTATTTCACTGCGACAGTGCCTAAATATAGCTGTTTTGGTTTCCTCTGGCTGTAACTGTATCAAAGCTCAAAATAATACCTTAAAAGAGCCAAACAGACAAATTAAGCAGGTTAATACAAAAAAAAAAATATGCACAAATACTATATTGGGAAGAGTCTCTGCCTAGGCAGTTAAATTGTGGAAATTACTTTTCTGAGGATCTTGCGTGTATTGAGGAATTAAGCTGTGTATTCAGTTTCCAATACTTCTGGATAAATACTTACTTTAAAAAGAAAAGAAAACAGATGTTCAGCCTACTGCTTGCTGGAAAATAGATGAACACTATCCAGATTTTCAAGACCTCAGTAAAATAAGTAGACCAAATGGCTTTGTACCTATCAATAACATCTCATCGCGCAAAATACTAATTCAACAGAAAAACCTTTACTTCCAGATCATCTTATGGGGCCGTATGTCACAAGAACGTGCTCATCCCCAAGTAACAGGCTTCAACTAATATTCTGCACTGAGACTGAGTGTATCTTGGGACCTTCGTTTCGCCTCCTGCAGTTTTACACATGTCCAGCTCAGCTTCTGTATGTTTCTTTGTGGATATAAACTTTGTAAAGATAGCTGTGGATAACACACAAAACTAAGAACAAAGCAAGAAGAATTTAACTTACTACTTTTTTACTTCTAATAAAAAGACATTTAAGTATTTTGCAGTGTTATCATCTGAAAAACAAATTCCTATCGTACTATCAGCCAAAGCCAAAAGCCCAGAGGGCTTGGAGACAGGGCTGTCATTGCATAACACTGCAAGGGACTTAGGATGATGCTGATGCTAAAGAACAGCTCTGTTCAGGATGGGGCTGCAACTCACACCACACAGAGGCAGATCATTTGGGCTTACCTACTCCACTTCCATCACATGTTGGCACTTTCTTACTCTCCCAAGGTTGCCAGGCAAGAATAGTCTCAGGCTTTGGCTTCACCATCTTGCAATGAAATAATTACTCTTCCTGCAATGACCCCTCCTCCCACCTCTAACTCCCTGTGTGACTTCCTCATTAGGGATGGGATGTGCTCAAATGTAACTGCAGGAAGAGCACAACTGGACAATGCTGGATATCCAGTGTCTGCAGCAGACAGGATTTTAATTCTACCTGATCACTGATGAAATTGTACTTCTTGCAAAATGGAAAATCACCTAAGTTTCATAGCAAATTTCTGTTCTAGCAACCATACTCAGCACTTATGAAGAGCTTTTCCAGGTATGACTATTTGAAGCAAACACCATTCGTGTACTCCCACTAAGACCTAGGAGAGACCAGCAAAGGATGAATGGTTTAAAAGTCTCACCTTCCAAGGGTACCTTTGACAATTTAGCTAATCCTAATAACGCGTACAGAGAGTTACGTAATTTTCCCTAATCACTAGTTATAAACTTTTTTGTTCAGTGGACCACTGTCAACCCTCAACATTTCTTGCAATTATCAATCTATCCCGTAAACTCAACCAGAAACTTGACAGAAAATACTGTTATGATTCTGCAGACCAGCTGTGGAACAATTACTGCAGACTGCAGATCACTTGCAACCTCTGGACCACTGTTTGGGAGCTGCTGCCCTAGGCCTTGCTGCCAGTCATCCCTACCTGTGACAGGCCAAGATTACTTTTAACCTCTCTCTCACCTCCTCCTACCACGGTCCCACCTTAAACCCTGTCTGCCAGATGCTGCCCTCGTTCATATTCTCTTATTCACCTTATTCTTGGAAAAATTTGATTGATTGAGCAAGAAGGGGGGCACGATACAGTCCACAAAAACTGTGTTTTTCAGTCTTGTCCAGAGAAATCCTGGGATCGTGAGGCAGAACCCAAAATCTTTACATACCGAAGAACTGATGTCTATTTAAGGCCAAGTACTAAGGTCCAAGCTCTTCTTGTAAGGATGAAATGGCTACTTCTGGTTGATTTTCAAGAAACAGGGAAAATCTTTAGTTGTGATTTCAAAACAGATTTAGCCTACTTAGATGATACTTTACCTGTATGGATTGGAATTTGGAGTGATTAGTTCAATGATATGAACTTCTCTTTCTTGGACTAAGTTAGACATAAGGCACCCTTCTGCTGTTTTTGGTTGTAGGTATCCCGCAAGGTAATTTAAAGAGAGAAAATTCTTTTTTATGTTGCACGAGGGAGGAAAAACTTGATCTGGAGGGGGAAAAAAAAGAAAGCATATGCACCTTTACTTAGAGGTATCAGCTTACATGCATATATGTACTGCATCTACTTCAGCGTGGCACTTTATTTTCTGACGTAGGTCTTTAGGCTAAAAGGTGTATCTATTATCTATCATAAACACTTATGACAAACCAACATAATATTGAAAGGAAGATCACTGTTGCAACAACACAGTACATCTCTGATGTAAAATAGATATTTCTAAACCGAACAGTTTCTATTTATGGATTTAAGTATTTAATAAAAGAAAAATACCTACAAAGAGAAATCTGAAAACAATACTGAAGTAAAATATGTGAGCATTTTTCAAAATGAATAAAATACATTTCATTTGTTCCTTGCACCTTTAAAAAAGATTTCTTTCTTTTGAAATTAACTCATAGAAAACTTCTGTGATCAATTCCTTCTCCCTTTAGAAATGTTTTATTCCTGTTATTATAAACTTACCATATTTAAAAGATTATAGAAATTATTTTCCATTTCCTTACTCAATATATTTTTCTATATATTGTGTAGTCAGAGTCAGTGTTGTTCAGAAATACTGCAGTTCTCTTGTGCACGGAAAATTGAATATAGCAAGAAAAGGATTAAATCAGTTGCTGATATTAAGGAAGTCTGACCATAATATCCATAACTGAAATGAAGAAATTCTAGAGTAGATATTCAATCCCTTTTTTTGGTTTTAAGTGCCTAGCTGATCATGAGCATTAACTAGTGTACAATGCAAAACATAACAAATAGTTCCTTGGTATGAAGTCCTCATGCACAGACTACATTGCTGTACCCCAAGAAGCAATATTTCCATTGAAAAATAGGAATACTTTGTATTTCTGAGATAGTTTTGCATATGAATTGTCATAATACACAGAAAGATTAAGCATCATGTTCAAACACACAAAGTCCTATAAGAATATAATTCCAAATGGCTGGCTTTTTGACCTTTGCTTTACAAAGACGGCTTTCCTATTAAGGTCAGTAGCAAGATACTAAAAAAAAATCAAATATAATGCATTATGCATGCAAAACTGTGGACGAACTCTTAAAAGCTGAGCTGAGGCCACTGTTAGCTTTTGCTCCCTAAATGAGAGCTGAAATGTCATCCCTGAGTCGCATTTGTGTGTGGTACACAACTTTGCAGGGAGACCAGAGACTCCTGTGACCCCAGCCGCTGCAGAAACAATTAGGGGAGTTTCTTCTCCTGATCTTACACAAAGTAGTCTTTGAGTATTAACCTTGCTGTCTTCCCCACAGAATCTCTGAAAGCTGTATGAGCTTATAACTATTCATACTGCCCAAGCAAAGCACTCCTCTAACATCTGGTACGTGCCCTGCCGGATTAGCCTTGAACGCAGCTGCAGTTCTGCCAGCTCCTCCCACAACAGCAGAGAATGGAAAATGATCCCAAATGGTCTACACTGAGCTCGAATTTATATATATACATACACACACAGACAGAGATACTAGGTATTTGCTTCTCAGCTGCTGTACAATACAATTCAAGTCATAAAATAACAGCCTCTAAGTAGTTTGTGGATAATTACCACAGGTGCTATCCTTTGCCATCGCAAAGAATTTGGTTCCCGCTCCTGGCACTTCCATTAAATGTTGCTGGAGCTCTCAAGAACTGCTGCTCTCACCGCCACCAGTGCGGAGGCTCCCCAGCCTGGGCCTCCGCTCGATAGCACGCTTTTCCTCTGCAGCAAATTTTAACTCTGTCACTGGCTACCTGACGTACGCATTTACTTCCCCGCTTCACCAAGACGTATTTACTCTCATCCATGCCAGTTACCAAAATCTGGGCTGGAACAGAAGAGGGGATCCATTTCATCTTTCTTTGCTCACTACGCTTCTAAAGAATTTTAGTTTCAGGGCTGTCTACTTACTTTGGAAAGGGACTGCAGGTGCCTGCAATCAATTAAAAACCTTACTAAACCAGCCAGCAAACAGTCAATTTATGGACCCTGTGCCTCTCCAATCTCCACAGACTCCCAATATGGAATCAAGCATGAGGTTGGCGGTGGAGCTGTGGCTGGCAGCCACCTTTCCCTCCGGCACGTGTGCCAGGCTGCTCCGATGAAGACGGAGGATTGCACACTGGGATCTGTAGTTTCTATGGGCAGCACCTCCATTTTACAGATGAGGACAGACACTGTCTGCTCTGTTCTGTGCAAATTAGGTGTAATCCGCGGGTTCTTGGCTAAATTGGATAAAAGTTGAGTATCCCAGCTTAAAATCATGCGGAGTTGTTTTTTGTGAAAATGAGCGCCGTTAATCAGGCGTCACTCTCCAAGACAGGCGCCCTAGGCAGCAGCAGTTCGATTCGGCAATAAAAATGCCATCCAAGCAGAGCTTGCCTTTCAAAGTCTGAGCTGGGGATAAGCGAGGCGCTTGGGATTTTCCTCAGCCACTCTGATGGCGGGTCTTTTTTGACTGTATTTTGCAGTTCACTAGCCCTTAGCACGATGGAGATCAGAACCTCGACTGACATTGAGTGGCAGGGTAGAAATGCAAGTGGAGAAGGGGCTGCAGTGGTGTCTTGAGGGAGGGTGGAAACTCTTGGTTGTACTCACCCCTCAGCAGGACACACGGCTAAAGCCTGACACAACACACGCACCTACAAGTATTAAACCAAACAGGTTCGGTGTGCAGGATACGTGCACCAGTGTCTACAAGCTACAAACTCAGAGTCAGGACTGCAGCTTCAGCTTCTGCCAGGACAGGAGCACAGTGTAACCATCTGCAAACAGACTGTACGTTTTCCTGCCTAGTTATTGTTATGGTTGACTATTTTTTTCCCTCTTATTTAGCTAAGAAATGTGCTGAAATTAGGCTCCCTCCAGGCTAGCACATCTGCCCTGGCTTTACACTTGTGGTACTGGATGAGTTAGGTAATATTTAGCTGGTAAGTCTTCCTGATTTGTACAATGGTTTCTTACTGAAGCATGAGGAATTAAAGTGACTTCTGCTGAAAAACGTGTACTAAGATCACTTTCACCCTCAGGAGTCCTGCTTTCTAGAATCTGACAGCAATTATCATGGCAATCACTTTGCCATCTCCTTCACTACACAAACCAAAGCAAGAAAGAGAACCCCACTTCTTGTGCCCCCTTCCTGCAAACCCTCATTCTGGCCCCTTTAAGTTTTCACTGTGCTTACCATCCCCGCTGTATCTGATCGGCCACTCTTCCCAATCAAGAGGATTCAGATGCACTTGGCCCTGACCCAGCTTGCAAGCTCGCTCAGCTGCCTTTCATTTGCAGCTTCAAAAGTGATTTTAGAGACCCATGGCGTCAGAAGCAGTTTTATTCTATGAAAGATCACCCCTCGTCAGATCTTTTTGTCCCCTGGCTTGCATTTTCTGTTTGGTGTATTCAGCTACAGCCTCAACTTCTAAAATGTTACATCTTCCAGTTTCAGATTTTTCCAACTTGAGTGAAGCTGAAACATAGACAATTACATGAATACTGCCATGGAATTCTGTATCGGTTACATAGCAAGGAACTCTTTCATATGATCACCTATAGATTATACTAGCTGCGATTCACAGACTGGCAGCTGAGGGCACCTGACTGAAGCACTTGAGGAGTGTGAGTTTTGTATGAAAATCCTGAAATGTCCATCAGCATATACTGTGGTTTGTGGAATCCAGTGATTCCATCATTCACTCTGCAGAGAAGCAAACCAGGTCCATGTCCCACGTGCTTTCCACAGAACTCCTCGCACAACTGCTGCAGTTCAAGAGCTGACCCTCTCCCCACCCCTGAACACATGCATAACCCCCACACATACTCATTCTTCTGCCAAGAATTTAAATCAAAATCAAATATGGTTACAGCTGAGCTAGTTTGTAGGAGCCTTCTCAGAAACTGTCTATGTTGGTTGCCTGCCAAGTTCCATTTTGTGTACTTTCTCCTAATTAAATTGTGTTTTAACACATTCTAAAGATGATGCAAAGCTCTCCTATTTAGCTGCTTAGTTCGACTGGAGACATGCAAACCAACAAACAAAATTTTATCTGCTTTTTGACATATCTAATTAAATGTTCATCTCTGCAACACAGAGACCACTACTCCCATGTATATGTTCCAAGAGCACTTTAATAAGCTAATAAATATATTTCTGAATGATATTCTGGCATTAAAATCCAAGACTGGTGCCAAGTAGAACAAAAATCATGCAGGGGAATCCTGTACAAATTTGGCAGGCTTTGGATAAAACCAACACAGGCATGTTCCGATTTTGGGGGGCAAGCCTCATGCTTTAGGAAATCAAATGATCAGATACAGGTGGTTAGGAAAGAATGATTTCTCCACAGAAGGTGGTTGTGGTTTTTTTTGTAGCCAGCTACTTTAGCTATGCAGGAGTTTCTCTAGAAACATTGCTGAAACTAAATTAGGCTGCTGGTGCTACTAAATGCTGCGCCCACCAGTACTCATTGGATATTGATAAAAATTGATTTCTACATTTCCCATCACTGAACTTCTTGAGAGACAACAATTAGTTTCAAACTACCCAGACTACTAGCTGCAATGCAAATCAGTTCCAGTTCACTTTTACTAGCCTTATTTTGGTTTAGCCTAAACCTGGATGTTTGTTTAAGCCTAAACTTGGATGACATCTTCAGAGAACAAAAAAAACCAACAGTGAGTTGCAGGCCATTAGGTAAAGAACACTGACAGCTTAAAACATCCCATACCTGCGAAAAAGAAAATTTTACGCCCAATCGTCCTGCACAACAGAGGCAAGTCTGCTCTCCCTGCAAAGTTCCTTTTACTAACTATATATTTTCCAGAAAATGAACTTGAATAGAGATAAGTAGGGCATAAACTGTCCTGAACTGACTGCCTTGCTCCATAGTGAAGAGAAGAGCCGTGGCTCTTATGTTATCCATGGTTTATGACCAGCTCAGGTGGAACTCCCCTGCAGAAGACACGCTATGTGACCAGCAGCCAGCTAAGGAAAAGCATGAGCCAGAAGGTGCTGCAGGGGCTCATATTGTAAAGCTGTTCCAACACTGCTCAACTACAGAGCTACAGCCCAAACCCTACCCTAATATGGGCCTGTGAAACCCCTGAGGAGCTGAAGTCCTCTCCCACCTGCCCTAGTCCACCTGATGAATTTGGCGTGCGGGTCACGGGGACAGGAAATCTTGCTCCTTGGGATGAAAATGCTCAAGGACATCAGACTAAGGCAATTTATCTTGGTGACGAAAGCAGTAATTCTTTGCCCAAAGTAGTCTGGATACAAGCAAATACTGAAAAAAAATATAACTTGGGTCCTTCTAGAAATTACCTTCTACCTCACGTTCCCAACTTCTGTCCTTTAGATGAAGACAACCAAATGATCACCATGAGTAGTTTATTCCTTTTAAAAGGTGAAGTTTTGACCCCTGTAAGATTCTGGCCAATTGCATCCACATTTATGAGCATAAAATTATGACACCGGAATTCATTAAAAATTGCCTAAATCCAAGGTCTGGTCTTTAGACTTCGTCTTATTTCTCTGCCTTCCCCTTTTACACCACATCTTTCGGAAAATGAGAGGTATGTTTAAAGATTAACATTAAAAATGTGAAATAATACTACAGAACGACTTATTCTCATGATCTAGAAGTGCCTATCAGTTCTGCTTGTTTTGTTTTACCTTCTCCTACTTTAATATAGATGTTTCTTGATATTTTGAGTTCAGTGAAAGATGTTACTGCTCCATATTCCTTCTGGGCCCACTGTAGCAGGTGTTCATTTTTCTCAGGAAAAAGCTTTTCTTCCGTTTCTGCTGACAAGGAGAAATTTCCCTTCTCAAACTGAACAACGGAACCTAAAGACACCTGATGGGAATAAAAACATATTTTTAACGTGGTACATTTATCCACACAGACAGGTAGCATGTTTAAGCAATGTAATCTGTCACACCCAAATGCATTCACTGAAGGCAATTAAGGCTGATTTCCAACAATGCTTAAACTTCATGTGGTTTAGCATGTGCATAATGATTCCTTTTCCAGAGATGTTTCTAAAAGATGAAGCACCCATCAGCCTGGCTATGGTGCACATGGCAACTGACTAATGGAGTGCTCTGAGCCACTCTCTGAAGTCGTACTGCTGCAGAAGTGATACGACAGTGCTGCAAGGGGAGCTGAACTGTGGGGATGAAGGGAGGGCTGGAAGACAAGAGGAAAACTAAGACAGGAGAGAGTGAGAAGATGGTCTGAGGAACTGAAGGGAGAGAAGGATGTGAAGCACCATAAATGTGGGAACTACAGAAGTAACTCCCAAATCAGAAAGAACATGAGTCAAAGTCCAGTGACAGATAAAGGCCAACAGAGAAACAGAGTAAGGAAAGAGAAGTCTAAGAGAAAGGGAAGATATTTACTGTTGCTTTATTTACACGAAGCAAGGGAATGCTTTAGTCTAACACATAAAGCAGATGAGTTATATATCTTTAGAAAAATACTTATAAATAGGTTATGTGAACTCAGGTTGACTGGAAAAACTAGTGTTGTTTAAAATAGTCAAAATGGAAAAACAGTAAGTAGAACTGTAAAGAGTTCTGTGGGAAAGCCTAAGATTTTCAAATACAACTTCACCTGGAGTGGCAATAGCATCATTCAAGAAAAGAAGAGGGCACAGAGTCAGGCTCTCTTTCAGATTGGCACCTGCATCAACTTATGTTGGTCTTGAGAGATAAACAAGTCATTCCAGATTTACTGCAAAGCAAGATCATCCCAACAGCAACCTTTTGGGTCTCCTGTCCCTGCAGAGGGACTTAGCCAATACTTCCAGCACATTTGTCAGCTCTCCAGAGGTCTCTACAGCAAGCGGTGAAAGAAGAGTATTCCTTCATCTGCCCGACCTCAGGAGCCATCACCCATCCATACACTTCACTGTCTCTTCCTTCAAGGTGCTTGAGGACTGGGACCTGCATGCCCTACCCAGGCTGGTCATTCCATTCACACTTTCACTAAGATCTAAAACCTCAAGTCAAGAATAACATGTGCTTGAGTGAGAAAGCACAGCAAGATGAATAAGCTTTCAGGTTTGAATGCATCAGTGAAGATTTCTTTGGACGTATTCCCTGCAGTAGTGTGTAAGCAGTGCTTGCCCAGATACAACACACAGCCCCTTCTTCCAGACTGCTGCAGTAGACCAGGCTTCGGGAAAGAAGTACCATTTTCTTGCGCTATCCCCAGAGCAGCCTAGGAGAAAGTGTGACTTACTCTGCTGTTCTCCTTCACCTTTCCTTTCTACTAGCCCAGATTTCTTTGGTGGAACAAAAGCATTTTTTTTTCTCCAACTGAAAATCCAAAACTATTAATGATGACGATTGGAAGAGTGACAAATACATCATAACAATTTCTAACCTGTCCTCAGTATCATTTACATGTTATAGCAGTATAATGGTCTTAAGTATTTCTCTAAGCTTTTAAACAACAAAATACATTTAACAGAGATTATCTGAAGTCAGGTTCCAATTACAGAAATTAATTAACTGCAACCAACTATGACCTTCCCTGGAGTTATTGTTTGCAGCACTATTTCAGGATATTATATATCAGTTTGTTTAGCACCTACACATATTTGTCCAAGTAGACACATAAATTACACCCTTTGGCACACTGAAAGAATTTCAGAGTTCTTCCCTGTGCCTCCAGCTATTACGTTATTTATTATGCACACATATCACTTACACTCCTCTAAGAGGAGGCCCATGTAATTCAGACTTCAATTTGACCAGACCTGTCACAAAAAACAGCTTAGGAATCCTTTTGCCAGAATAGTTTTCAAAGTTTAGACTAACATCTGTTTCAATTCTGAATGATCTTCCTTATTTGTTGTTTTTCATATGACTACCATAAAACATTTCCTTTAAATTAAAATGTCTCTATTCAGTGTAACACAGAATACAGAATATTCTCTCAATACTCTCATACTTCTCAAATAAGAAAGCAAACTGCCCCCAAATCTACAACACCAGGAAAAGAGAGCAACATGGTTATCTTTAAAACCTATTTAGCAAATAGCATTCACTTTGTATTTCCACCACTTAGAAGCAGCTACACCATGGACTAATTTTATGGGGCACCTCTACAACGCTCCTAACAGATTGAATTTTATAGTGTGCACAGTCTCACAGGACAACACGGACATAGGACAAGACAGGTCACGCAGGGATCGCATACAGAGCGCCTCTTAGCAATGCTGTCTTTTGTATCCGAGACATGTGGGACATCTTTGTAGAGCCTTTGCCTAACTAGAAAAACCTCCCGTGCATAAGAATTGCAGGATTTAAGGACTTAACCAGTTATTATTTTGCAGTGATATTGAATAGATGCTGGCATTCCACTCTCAGGAACAAACCTCCTCAACTACCTCAAAAATACGATGGTTTATCCAGTAAGTACAGTAATTGCTTTTCATTTACACAATGTTTCTGTTTTGTTGTTGTTGTTTTTTTTTTTATGGTCAATATCAGAGTAAAGAAGTACCAGTGTAACCTTTTAAGACATCTGAGAAAAGCATTACAGGAAATATTATTCCTTCTGAATACTGACCAAAGAAGTGCATTAGCTTGCAATAGTGCATTTTCACTGTATTTTTCATTTTATATTTGAGATATTTAAATGTCTGCTAACACAAGTTTTCTTCCTCAGAATACACTTGGTTTTCCAGTTATTACTAATTAAAACTTGAAAATCTTCTGCATCACCCTGCAGCACGATAAATGTCTTCCTGCAAGACAGATCCTATCCTATCAATGGACCCCAAAGTTACTGAGTCCTACTAGGGAGGAACTGACAGACAGAAAGCAGAACAACTAAAAAGTCTGGCACAAGCATCCTCACTAAATTATCATACAGTAAACAGCTTTAAATAAACATGAAGCTTATAATAATTTATTTTTTTAATCACATACTAAAGTCTATTTGAAATGCTGATTCCACTACCAGATTTTAGAAAGGAGTGCAGAGTTCTGCTGTGCCTGCCAATGGTGGGATTTTTACTACATGGACCTAAGGCAAGGTTAAGTGAGCCAAGCACGTTATTTTTTCTGGAAAGAATTCAACAGACTCTTCCAAAAAAGGCAACCATCACTGTTTCAACACCTGCCTTGAACATTAACTACTTACTCTTCAGAACAAACCAAAAGCAGCTCTCTCTAATATGCTTAGGATAAACCAGAGCATTAAAACCAAAGAATGTTTTAAATACTTGGGAATATATCAACAATTTTTATGTGAGCACTAATTACACACCTGAGTGGGTAATTAAGAAACTGCTGCCACATACACTTTTATCTCCTCACTTCAACTACTGCAGTGGTTACTTTCAGAGATTGCAGAGTGGAAAAGTGCCCTACCTCTATTTCTTCCTGTTGTTGTGAGGACATTAAAAGTGACTGCACCAGAAACATCCTCTGCTGCTGAGTCCACCTACGTGCCCTGTCACATTTCTGATGCTAAATGAGGAAACTTCCAAGCCTGACATGGAAAATCAGTTTGCAAGACCAAAAGATACTGGCCATCGTCACTAACCACAGCAAGGACCGCAGTTCAAAGGGCTCTTCTGCAGTCAGAGGAAAGGAGGATCAAGTACAGTATTTTGAAAATTTGATACCAAAACCTGAGTATTCTCTCAAAGAACAAAACATTTTTAGGAATGTGTTTTGATTACACACACTACTACCCCGCTGACCACTGGTGGAAAACAGGGATTGTCATTTTCTTTGCACTCTACAGAAGCAAGGAAACATACCCCTCAAGCTGCAGGGGGAGGGGGGGGAAAAAGAAAAAAAAAAGCCGTTATATGTCCCTCAAGAAAACTTTCCAGTCTTACAAAAACTGTCCTTGCAAGGCTGCCAGGGTAGTTCAGGACATCAGCTACCTGGCAGAAGTGGCAAATGCTATAAGTTACTATTCTCTAGAAGGAACAGCTCTCCAAACCAACCCCGAATTGTCTCAAATATATACACTGATGAGCATGAGCACTGCATACACTCAAAATAGCATCTTCTGTTTCTTATTTTACCTATTTCCTTCTCTCCTTTTAAATGTTTATTGCTTTTTTTTTTTTTCTTTTGAACCTGATCCAGGGGGGATATTTACTTTGTTTTCTTTATGACATTTTAAGTATTTAACGTAGCTATAATTCAGAACTCCCAAGTAGGAAGCAAATTCATAATTTAGCCTTAAGAGAGAGGGAGCACCTTTGGGAGATGACTCAGAATACAAAGTTAAATGTCCACAGCTACACAGTATGAACCAATCCCTCTCTTCACAGCAACAGCTATACCGCTACTCACCAAGGTCCCTCCAGCACAAGTGACCAACAAAGCCACCCATAAAGCCAAGACTGAGGCAAATACACTAGCAGAAGAAAAGCAGCATATTTTTATCTGAGCCATACAGTATCAGACCTGTGGTGGAACGTGTAGGAGAGGAGTAAATCTGCTCAGAATAAAATTCAAAAACTTGAACCAACTTTCAGAGCAGCCCACATGGGGTTCAGACTCAGCTGGTGGTTTTTGATAATGTACTTTGATGTGCTTTGGTGCCCTTAAAGAAGAAAAGTAAAGCCATGGATGGAGAAATATTAGGTATTTGGAAACTCAAAAATATATCCTTTGTTGTTCATACATCCACATACAACATAAAGAGAATTGTTCTCTTGGTGATTACTTTAGTAGGTGAATAGGAAACATGCTGCTTTTGAAATGACATGCAACATGCGTAAATCATCTATCAGCTTTGCATAGTCCTTGTGGCACCAGTCACGGACATGCAATGCTTTTGGGCAGTAGTAAAATTTTTCATTTTCAGTTCAGTGTTCC